TTTGTAGCATAACCTTCTTAAGAAGCTTTAGAAACAGGTTCTACACGTGTTCAAAAGAACACATGGATACCCTCTGTCCCTCTTCAGTTTTAAACAAGCTTAGAAATAAAACTTCATGGGTTACACGTGTGAGAAGAACCTGTTCATGAGTCTCTGCCTCATTTCCTACCCATGGAGGGTGCAGAGCTGGAAGAACTCTCCATGAAGCCATAGCCTACCTCCTCATTTTGCAGATGAGAAAGCTGAGATCTAGAGACAGGATCTCTAGGGTGAGACGTTTTAATGCCTATAGATTTGTATAAAATAGCTTACTACCTGGTTGGGCTGATCTCCCTGTCTTTTCCAGGATTCTCCGGGCAGTGGGGGTCTTTGCTAAGCCTGCAGGGAGACTGAGAGGCTGCTTGTCTGTGTCTTCTTAATATCCAAGTTGCTGTGGCCATGTGTGTTAAAATGCCATACCTCTGCCCCTAGTAATGCAGTACAGCGGAGGCAAAGCCTTTTATGTAAGTCAAAAGGCTCATCTGAAGATGCAGGACGGCAACAGCATGTGAGGTCTCCATAGCTTTGAGGGTCTCGGCTGGACTAGCCCTGGACATTCAGTGGCCAGCCAGCTTGCTGGGAACTTGTTTTTCTTCACTAACACATGAGATCCCAGGAAGTGAGAAAAATGTAGGATGAATCTCAACTAGTCACTGCTACTTGCTTTAACATGCTTTAAGAATATTCCCTCTGGCTGGTATGGTGGCTCACCCCTGTAATCCTAGCACTCTGGGAGGCCGAGGTAGAGAATTGCTTGATCTCAGGAATTCAAGACCAGCCTGAGCAAGAGCAAGACCCCATCTCTAATAAAAATAGAGAAATTAGCCAGGCATGGTGGTGCATGCCTAGTTCCAGCTACTAGGGAGGCTGAGGCAGGAGGATTGCCTGAGCCCAGGAGTTGGAGGTTGCAGGGAGCTATGATGAGGCCACTGCACTCTACACAGGGTGACAGGGTGAGACTTTGTCTCAAAACAAACAAAAATATTCCCTACTTGATGCAAAAGAGAAGAATTGAAATCTGGAAGTTATTAATTTACATTTGTAGTCATAATTCATATAAGAACTTATTCACAAAATGGTTTTCAAAGATGAATATATTAACATAAAAACATAGTTAATAATCACAAAGGTCATGAACTTTCTGCATCATTCTGCTGATAAACAATTTGAACAAAAATGAATACTGTTTATTTTCTACATTGTGTACACAAATGTCCTTTTGGTTTGTTGCCATTTGTAGCTCTTTTACTTAAATGGAGAAGAGAAATTGACTCACCCCATTTCCTTGTGTTCCAAGTGCAATAGGTCTACCTCTTGCGCGATTTTTATATCTTTCAAAGTTACGTAGTGCATCCTTGAATGCACATTTTCCATTTTCCTCCTTATATCAAGGTCATCCTGTTTAGCTTACCTTGTAGTTGCTAGGATATATCTTACTGCCATGCAGAGACCAAAAATCCACAGTCAGCTTAAATTGAATTTCTATTAATAGTACATGTAAGTGTGAGACTCTTCCGCCTATTTGGTATAATTGAAGTTGCAAAATTATGTGGGCCAGGTATGACTAGTTTCAAGGTGGGAAAATTGAGTCTCAGAGACAGTAACCATACCTCCCAAAGTCCAACAGCAAGCCGCTGCTGGAGAAAGATCCGGTTAGGTGGCTGTGACATGCCTTCACAGAGCTCTGCGTGAGCCGGGTCTTCCCCACCCGTGGTCTCATCTCACACCACTTTCCCCCTCCCCACCAAGCTCTAGGCATAGTGGCTGTATTTCTGTTTCTCAAACACTCCAAGCTCTTTCTCATCTTTGGGACTCTGCATTCACTCTCCTCCCTGCCTGATAAGCCCTCAACCAGGATCCAGGCATGGCTGGCCGCTTCCTGTCTTTTCTGTTTCACTGTAAATATCACCTCTTCCAAGGTGCTTTCCAAGCTGGGGCAGCCAGCCACACAGCCCCTCTCTCATACTGCCCTGCTTTCAATCTCCGCCCAGCACTAAGAAATATCTACTGCATTTCCAGCCTATTTGGTTTTTTTTTTTAGTCAGCCTCCTTTCATAAAAACGCAAACTCCACAAGAGCACAAAGACTGTCTTGTTCCCCACTGTGTCCCTCAGCACCTAGAACATGACCCACAAGGTGTCCACTAGTGGTTTGATGAATGAATGGATGACTGTCCCTACCTGGCTGAGACCGGGCTACGTATGGGGGGAGGGTTAGGGCACAAGAGAAGTATAAATCCTGGCGCTCACCCCCAGGACTTGAAACCCAGAACCTCGTGTGTCTTCAAGCAGGAAAAGACATGTGCAATTAGATTACAACAGTGGAGTAAATTTATCAGCTACTGAAAATAAGTATCAATATATATATTGGATATATATATATCCATACATAACATGTGGATGTTAGCAAATCTATTCCAGATCTGTAAGCTAATGATATATATAAAAAATACATTTATACGCAAGATAAACTCATAGTAGGTGTCTTTAAAAATACCACATATCAAAGACTTACTGCGAAGTAAGTTTGGAAGAACGGTGTGCCCACACCTTAAAGCCTTTTCTGGGTCTAGAAAGACATGATTTAGTGAGATACCTGGGAGAAGGCTTAAAGGAGTCTGCAACGGAGAGAAAGACAGACCGAGAGAGCAGAGGCCAGAGGTCTGGGGGGCTGGACTAGGCTCCTGAGAGTAGGGACAGCGTGCGTCTCTACCAGGGCTTCCCTGTTCCCTGCAGCTGTGCAAAATGCCACCTGCCGAACGGACGAGAAGCCGTGGGATTCGGACCCAGAGGAGGTGATGTGGTTCTTGTCTCCTAAGTTGTTTGCTGCCTAAATGATACAGAGCACATCAATTCCAAACAGAATTTAGATGAGGCATGTTAGGGCCTGGGATTCTCCAGAGTCAGCCCGAGCTCGCTCCGGGGACAGACGTGAGGGGTAGCTGAATGGCGCGCGGGGAGTTTGCCGCCCGTGGGGCGAGTTGGTGGCGCTGTTAAATGCAGCCGCCCAGACCCAACGAGAACAAGGTGCCTGGCGTTAGGTGCCACGTCATCGCGCCAAGCTCTGAAATGGGCCAGTTCCCAAAAAGCAGGCAATAAATATAGGTAACCTTAACATTTGTACGCCCAGAATATGCTGAAATAAAAAAGAAAAGAAAAATATATATAATATAATATAATATAAGCTCTTGGAAAGTCTAACTGGAGCCAGCACAAGGGAGTCCCCTTCGTTTTAACCCTACAAGGAAAGTCACTTTGAAACAACCAGTCTGCTTTTGTTCCTTGTTTCTGCTTTCTTCAGCACTTTTCCTCCGCCCATAAAGCTCACCCTCAGCTCAGCCCATCCGAGCGCCAGGCAGTTGCACGGCTGGGACGCCGCCTGATTTGTGAGTCGCTATCAGTGACAACTGGATCTTTCAACTAAATTTGTTGAAACTGTGTTCTTTAACAGTGCTAAAGGTGTGTTTTCCACTCTTAGCATGAATCCAGAGGCTACTGTGAAATCGCTTGTCAGCACCACCACACACCTTATCAGTCAACATTTCAGGAGGAAATACAAAATAAGGACAGTATTTTAATTTTTCTATTTTCACTAGTCTTACATAAAAGTATCCTGTTTCTATTAATATTACACGCCTTCAAATCTCTGCATTTTCCTTCCATTCTTTCAAACTTTAAGTTTCTATAATCGTAACTTTTATAATCATGAGAAACAGAAATGCCCTTCATATTTTCAAATGCCCTACCACCGAAGGAGAAGGATTATGAATTATTTCGGGGTATATTTCTTTACAGGCTTGTTTTACATATGTAAAACCACTGCAATTATAATGCTTATTGAGTTTTCTGTACTGAAATCAGATAATTTGGTATATAAGTTTTCACAGTTTTGAATTAATGCAAAATACTATTCCATATAAGAGAAGATAAAATGTACTGAACTGCTTTGTCAGTACTGCATACAGAATAGGTTTTCACTTTCCCTTTTTTAACATAAAGCTCTCTTATATTTTAGATTATTTTTAATATGAATATTATGTAGGTTGTAAATTCAGATTTTGATTGAAGATTATATAGTCTTGTATAACAGGGAGAAAATGCAAGGGAATTTTAAGTTGCCTGCTATCTATTTTTGGACTGTTTTCAGAAGTTCGTGACATACTTTGCCTCCGCGATGTATAACTAAGATTCTCGTTTAATTACACACCCATTAGCATTAGATAATATTTTTTCAAATGCAACTTCTAATTTTACAAGTAAAAAAAATAGGTTTCCTCTTGAATTTGAATTTCTTTGCTTACATAGTGAGGTGAAACATTGTCAACGTATGCAGTGACCCTTTCCTTCTCTGTTAGTGACTTGCTTCTCCCTTTATATCAACGCTGCTGCTCTGTGGTAATGGTTCTACTTTCACTATGGGAATGAGACAAATTAGAGGCCCAGCCTCTTTCAAGAGCTTTAAGTCATTCAAACCGACGAGAGCACCTTGCACCAAACGAGGAAATAAACTCCACAAGCTCATGTTCTCATCTGGATGCGGAAAATGCCAACGCTGGGGATGCGGACGATTGCCGCCTCCCCGTAGTTCCGCATCTCCGGGGGCCAGTGCTGTGCGTGGCCGGTTAGAGGCACGCTGCTGGGGCCAGGCCGTGGCTCACAGCTGCCCGGACACCCGCCTGACTGCAGGGACCCCAGGCCCACGTGCCTTGGCCTGTTTCCGGCCACGCTGCTTGCGTGATCCTGATTGGGTAATTTTTGAATCCCACTGGTTTTGGTTGGATGTTAAAGCTTGTTGCTGATTGGATGTTAAAGCTTGTTGCTGATTGGACGCTTCTTGAGCCCTACCACGGTTATAAAAGCAGGGGCAGAAGGGCAGGAAGGGGAAAACATCGGGAGACATGGGAAGACACGAAGAGAGCTGTAACACTAGGTGTGCTGAGCCTGCTGTGGAAGAACAAAGGCTGTTCTCCGACTCTTCGTGTGCCGCTCGGTTCTTTTCCTGGTCAAATGAACAAGAGCTGTAACACTAGCTGTACATACTGCCGCAACAGTCTCGGTTATGCCTGGGCGAAATATTACAAGAGTATTTTTTTTATGAAGAGAAGAAATGCTTCAGGGAGTTGAGATAATCTGTCCAAGGTCAGACTTCTAGTAAATAGTATGATTAGAGCTCTAAGACTACACCCTCAACCTTTCCCCCTACATCTCAGGTCCTCTTCGATGCCATGCAAAACCCTGGTGAGAGTCTGGGTAGGATGGGGAGCTTTCGCAACAACCACCGAAGGTTTCCTACCCACCAATTCCAATATATGTGTTTTCATAAGATCATCCAGAGCTATGCACTGGAGCAAAAATTATAGCCACAGGTGGCATTAGCTTTCACCTGTTAGGAGGCACGTTGGACTTACCAGTTAAAGACATTTTCCAATGACCCGTAGCAGCTGAACCTAACGTGCCTCTTAGAAGAGAAGCTCGTGCGTAAGACTTAGTGCTTCTTCAATCCCTTTAGCTGCCTGCTAAGTGCAGAATGCCCTCTCCTGCTGCTCTCTGCTTATGGAGCTGGCATTTGCTACACATGTTTCAAATGTACACGGTATTTGAAAAATGATCCTTCATCTGAACCAGCTTTTGCGATCTCATTCCACAGGCTACACACAAAGCTAGGGATATACTGCAGGCCTGGGGGGCCACAGGGAGGGAGCAGATGGTCTCGGGGTGTCTGATAAAAGCAAACCCGGCCAATGTGTGTTTTCAAATGCTGAGACGACTTTTTGTTTTTGGTTTGCCTCACTTGGGCCATTCCTTGGCATCCCACGATGAACTGAACAATTCGCCCTACTTATAACTTCATGTGTCTGAGTTGCGAACGTTTGTGAAATTGAAGCATTTGAAAGTTCACTGTGGGTTAGTCGAATCCCTCTGATGTTTACAGCGTTGTGATCAGATGGAAAACTTTCCACAGACACTTATGGATATCTGAGCTATTTGCACTTGCATTTCTGGATGCCCTGGTTTTGAAATGGAAACTATTACGAAAGAAATCGATTTCCAAGTTCACGTGTCTCAGAGCAGTGTGAATGACACTCAGCCTCCATTAGAAGGAGGACTATGTAATAAATGAGGCGCGATGTAACAAAGGAGCCACCTCTTCCTCAGCTGTCATCCTTGTTCCATGCCCTCCCGCCTGCGCGCTCTCGGGCTCTAGCAGGAGTGGCAGCTCCCGTGTCTGGGATGAGGCACTTTCATTGGTTCGCCGTTTCTTTAACACCTCTATTGATGGATGTGGAAGGGAGGCCAGGAAATAATGCCAGTAAAGGGAAGTTTGTGAATTTTCTTTCTTTTAAAACATATTTTTATCAAATAATATTCTTTCATCTCTCCTTCCTTTCCTCCTTCACGTCTTCCTTCAAGCTCCCCACATGACAGGCATTTATTTGCCTAGGATGCAAAAACATGAAACTCAGTGCTGCGAGATGACAGCACTGGGAATGTCCCGGCCAAGCGACAAGCGAGCAAGGATGTTCTCACCAGCAGGGCCCGAACCAGGGGAAGAAGGGCCCGGCTCAGTCTGTGAGTGCAGGTGGACTCTGTCTTTATTTAAAATTGGGGCACTTTATTCATCATGGATTTTTTTTTTCTTGCATTCATTTTGATTTTTAAAAATATCACATTGTATGATGTATCCTGATTACCGAGTTTATTGATACCACTTAAATATTGTGCGAGCAGCAAATGCTTCCCTTGCCATTCCCTAGAGCAGGGGTCCTCAAACGTTTTAAACAGGGGGCCAGTTCACTGTCCCTCAGACCGTTGGAGAGTGCGCACTGTGGGCCCGGGACGAGTCGGCTGCTAACCACGGGACAGGCAGCGGCGGCAAAAACACCTGGCGGGCCGGATAAATGTCCTAGGTGGGTGGCATGTGGCCGCGGGCCGTAGTTTGAGGATGCCTGCCCTAGAACATCCCTGTTAACTAGTAGAACAGACCCCTGTGGAAACATAAATGTGATAGGTAAAAAAACTTTAAAAATATAAACGGAAGTTAAACTCATCTGTTAGAAGCTCCTAGAGACAAGGAAAGAGAAACCCCACTTCTCCAAAACCAGCCTGGGTCATAGAGAAAGGGCGGCACCACCAAAGTCCACAGCTAACGCTTCGGCCAGACAGTTACGTGTGCACTCGCATGTCACTTTTTCACAGGTTATATGGCCATTCTACTTCTGCCCTTTAAACCAGAAAATTTTTATTCTGAAGTAGCACATTAATTCAAATTATTTTTCCGAATCTAAGTAATTCTTTTGAGATGTGGGGTCTTTGTTTTTACAAAAAATGACTATTATATGTGCACAGTCCCTTTAACTATTCATAGTATTTTCCAATTGGCTCAGTACTTTTCATAATCACATCCTGACTTCTTTTAATCACATTTGTTTTTAAAATATCTGGGATATCTGAAGCTTTCCTCTTGTTAGTTGTGTGAAGTTTGAGGAATAGTATTATTCTTATCCATTCTGCTTAGTTATTGGAGACTTTTCATTGTTTATATTTATAATTGTTCACAGTGGATGTAGTTGGTGGTGGGATGCCCAGGCTGGGCGGTGGGGTCTAAATAATTTTATTTCCAAGTGCACATCACACCAACTGTAACACCGGCCGTGCACCCGCTATCGTAATTACACACATCTGAAAGGAGGGGTTTCTTGAGGCACACAATTCTCTCTATGTTTGGAGTTTGTCTTATTTCAGAGAATTTCTTTGAGCCATTACTATCCAAGTGTCTCCAATTAAGAAAATATTCAGTTCATTAGAGCAACCTATTCTCAATCACTTACTCAATCTACAATACTCTTTCATTTATTCTGCCCCTTTCTGTTGACAAATTCAGAAAATGTCCAGTATAAGTAAATGTGCTCAGGATCGATCTTTAATTAAATGTGCCATGATTGAAAAAATTAAAAAAAAAAAAAAACAGAAGAAACAAAGAAGACTTCTAGATGAGTCTATGTGGTTCGTTTCATGCAACAGATCAAAGTATCTATTTTTCTTCAGGGCCTGTGACTTCCTGTTAGTTTCCCTACTGCTCGAAATGAAAAATAAGCTGAAGAGTCCCATTTGGAAATTTGCAGAGGATCGGGTCCCAGTTGCTTTTCTACCAGGGAGCAGTAAACATCTGTCCTTGATCAAGCTCATAATTAGATCAATTAAGGCAGAGGGTGAATCAAGGCGAGGAGATGATAAGTGGAAAGCAGGACCAAGGTACAGGGCGAAGGAAGGGAAAGGAACAGCAATTAAGCTAAAGGCTACTCCGGGGGCCTGAGGTTCCTGCACCCAGGTCCCTTCCCGACGATGGCCCGGCCACGGACGCTCACAGGAGCTGCCTCCATGCATCAGGCTTGTGCTGGTGGCTCCGCCTGAGCCTCAGATCACGTCGTCACCTCCTCGTGGAGAAACATCTGCATCTGCCGGGGTCTTCCATCACACCCGGGGGACGTGAGTCTCCGGGGCAGCAGTGAGAGGACACTGTGCAGAAGGACCGAGGGGCCTGCGGGCTCGCCGGCCGGCTCGGCCTGCTTCGTGGCAATAAACTCAAGGAATGTCTAAACCCGGCCTCGTCAGAAAGAAGAAGGTTGTTTTCGCTGGAATTTCTGGGGAATTTATTCACGTCGCCCGAGATTCCCATTTCAGGAGCTTTAAATTTTATGGGTATTTTTAAAGCAATCAAACGCTGAGTTCTTAAATGTAGTTCTAGAATGTAGAGCCTCCCAAACGTCTAGATTTGGTTCATCCAGAAAATCCGAGCCAAATGTCTTGGCCGTCGTTCATCTGAACCCGCCCTGCCCCCCGCCCCGCCCGCCACAATGCAACACTGTCCACTCACAACATCATGGCAGTGTAACTTTGCGCTCTGGCAAGTGCGTCATTGGCGATTAGCAAAACACTGAAACAATGACATCATGTCTAAAAATAATCACAAAATAAAACCCCACTGAATATTAGTGACTCTCAGAAAGGCATTTGAGCAATGCCAGTCAGTGGCGGCTAGGTTCACTCTGTGTGTTTTGCTCTTATAGAATCTGAATAGTTTGAATTTCCATCTTTGTTCCTAATGTCTGCCCTTCCCCCGTTTCTCCCCTTCTCTAACCCCTTCTCTTTTCCAAGGAGTCTGTAATAAGAAGACCCGCTAAGCTTTTCGGAATCACCCAATTTACCTTCTGATCTTTCTTGGAAGCTTTTCTTCGTTTCCAACTGGAAGCCTGGCTCCTCTGTGGACTCAGGCGCCGTTTGAGCTTCCAGACACTTCGCAGGCCACAAGCAGTGGCAGAGGTGTGGAGATTTTAAAGCATGCACGTTGTCCCGATGAGTGCAAATAAAAACCTGTCTTGCTTACTTGGATTGTGGAAACCAGGAATACAGATCACACAGCTGGCGGAATGTCAGAACTGGAATTCGGTCCAACACCTTTACTGACTGTCTCGAACGTCTTAAAAACACAGTAGGCCTTGAAGCTTAAGCCAGAGCGAACTGTAAAGGAAATACCATCGGTGCATGCGGTGAAATACCCAAAATGCCCCGCACCGGTTGCTAGCTCACCGGCTTCCCTGAGTTCATTATTGTTGCCAGGCCTTTCGTTAATCTTAAAGCCTATGCTTTTAGGAGAAATAAATGTAAATAACTACAAAGTAAATATTAAAACATGTTCCCCTTTGCTATGCTCATGATGCTACTCTCTCACGATTGGTAATCATTCTGAGGTTTTGTTTTTTGTTTTTTTTTAAGTAGTGGTCTAGTATTCACACTCTAGTCCAATATTTTCTAAAGTGCGACATGAAGCCCAGGTGTTTAAAAATATACTTCAAAGTCTATCTTGGCATCAGAGCAGGTGAGAGGATCTCTCACCTCTCCTTATTGCACAGTAACTCACTTGTTACCTGTTTAGATACCAATTTTCAAAGCGAAGGAGCATTAGTGGTGGACGACCCTATTCTCTGTGCAAAGCAGATGTTCAATAAATATTCGCTGGAATGAAAGAATCAATGTATGCATGCATGCATGCTGTTTCTCAGGTTTTATTTGAAAGTATGAAGTTAGAAAATTACTATCATCCTTGCCCTCTTTTCCCTCTGTGGTGCCTTTACATGACTGCTAGAAGGACTTAGGCTGGCTGCGAAGTCAAGCAACTCACCATCATGAGTTCCGAATGTGAAGCCCCCGTGCCCAAAGCGTCCACATGGCTGCGCTTTTGAGAGGGATGATTCCTGGACTCTCGTGCTGGTTTTGCACCAGCGAGTCCTGCTACAAAGATCCTTGACCAGGTGGTGATTTTTAACGGGGCTAACAGATTTTTGAGATTTCAAATTAAGCACCTAGAAAGGACCCAAACCGGGCATCCTTTTTAATAAGTCCTCTCTGTTCAGTGGCCCGTTTAGCATAGAAACTTTCCGTGAACTCTGTAGGTGACCTTTTCCCTTTCTTTGTTTCCACTTAATCAGATTGCATGCGACCTTTGGGAGCCTACTGCTTGGATACTGGGAAGAGTACGTGAAAGGATAAAAAAAAACACACTCTTGCCTTTGGAGGCATATTAAAATCCTCTTGCATGCTGTTGTCTTTTTCTCATTGAAAATATCAAGTCTGTTTTCTATATAAACAGGCATTTTCTTTTATCTTGGTGATATTGTTTTACAATCCGACTGTATGACTTAAATATTTTATTTGTCTCCAAATCATTTTTTTTTAACATGGCCTGATTATTTGAAACAATCTCACTCACTTTGGAAAAGTATTATTAGTGAACTTTCTTTCAACTAAGGAGGAAAACAAACATGCAAATAATCTGGTTCCCCTGCGTGGTCTGCGCTGGTTAGTCACTCACACATGCTTTCTCTGGGTATGTGTCACCTGAAATGGAAAGGGAAGTAGGAAAGTGACCCTCCCAAGCATCCATTCCATACGACACTGGTGCGACGACTCTCGAGAGGCCACCGACTCAAAAACAAAAAAGGTTTCAGCATTTGAAGAACAGTCCTGTATTTATTCTATATCTTAAAATGAAGATGAATCAGATAAAGGCATTACAAGAACTACAAACAAAAAATCGGGTGATCTCTACTTATGGATTGGGTTTGCTGAGCCATGACAGAATTATAGAGCAGATGACATTTGTTTTTCTTGTCATCAGGGTCCTAAGCACCCTATCCTGTTCCTGTTCTGCTTGCTTTGTGTCCTGCTCCCCCGTCCCCATTCTCTCATTCTGCAGAGTCCCCTTCTCAAATCTCGCCAGCTCCAGTGCGTCGCAGGGGCTGGCAAACGTCTCCTGGCCGGGCCAAGGTAGAACGCACCTCGCTCAGTGCTCTGCAGGTCTCGGCTTGGCCGTTAGAGACTACACTTCCCAAAAGGCAACGTCTTACCACGAGAACCCTCTTCCTCAGCCCTCAGTTGCTCTCTGCAAGCCTGCAGTCCCGACCCGGTGTAGGAGGGAGAGTACGAGTACAAGTGGAAGCATTTCTGTGCCCTGGGGGCCTCCCTGCCTCTCCCAATCCCCATGTACAACCCACAGCAGAGTGAGGGTCTCAATGCTGCTCTTCTATTGCTGAACCACGGGCCGCTGCAGTCTACCTGCCAGCAAGCAGATTCCTCTGGTTTCTGTGAAAGGGCCCATTTGCACCTCCTGTCTTTTGGTTACTGCGACTTTCTCCCAGATTCACCCACACCATTGGATTTCTGGCCCCGTTTTCAGTCCGAAGTGTCAGCAATGCGTGTTCCACGGTGTCTTGCAGGCTGCCTTCCTGGGAACCTGGGAGCGGAGCCGCTGATCACTCCTAAAGTGTGATCCTGGGCTGAGTTTCCAGCCCGCGACCTGCCTCTTCCTACAAGCCCTGCAGATGGAAAAGCGGCTCTGGACTTGCACCCTCGCCGGGGCCAGACACTTGTGCGCCCTTACCTGTCGAGTCAGGCAGCGGCTTTCCCAGGCCTTGCGTGTCACAATACAGCAGCGGCTCTGCAACTCGCAATGGCATGATCACAATAAATTTTTGGTGAGGAATTAGCTATGAGGCCTTCAGGTTTGCCATAGAGAGATCATTGATCTCACCGTTTGAAGAGGTTTTAAAACCGATATTGTCTTTGCAGAGCAATTCTACCTGCCAATTAGTATATGCTTGAATAAAGCCACCACAACCTAAGTTTCACCATTAGACACCTGGGAACTCCGTGTAGACATGGAATATTTGTTGCAGATTAGGAGGGAACCGGATCGCTTGGAATCCTGGGCCTAGCTGAGCCAGATCTTCTCACGCAGGGGAAATTCAACACGCTGTTCAGCTTGACGTAGAGATCACCACCAAATTTGGTTGTGAAGGCACTCACGGCAAGGAAGGGAGGCAGAAAGTGAAGACACCTACACAAGGTCACGAATTGGCAGCAGAGGCTGGACTAGCCCCTAAGCCACCTGCATTCCACTCCATTCGTCCCCCTCCGCTTCTGCCGGGTCTCAGTGTGACGCCGTCAGGAAAGGCCCTTTCCTCGTCCATCCTCGTGTGTCCTCACAGAGCCAGGCACAGGCGCCAGCCACGAGGATTGCTTAGACGGTGGCGACTCGCTGAGGGATTTCCATCCACCGCGGGCATCTCCTGACCTCCGGCATGCCACGCTGCTCTGCCTGCTCATGCCCCTGTGTCTAGGCAAGACCTCACCTCTCTTGATTATCCCCGACAACCTCCTCCACAATAGAAGCTGTCGAGGTCAACTATGTGTCACTTAGGTGTTTTAATCTGTGCGCAGAAATGTTATTTTTTCTTGCCATTCTGGAAGAATTTCACAAGCCCTTCAGAGACTGACTAAATGATTACAGAATTTGCGCATTTCTGCCAAGGTGTGTTGAATAATAACAACAAAAAATAAATAGCGTTAGTCCCACAGTCATGCAGCAGCAGGTCCAGGCAGAGAACAAAGCACGGCGTGTGCGAATCGGCTAACCAGCACGGCCGCGCAACACGGGCTCTATTGTCAGCAACGATAAGACCCGACAAAAGGCCTTGGCAAGGGTGCTGCACATTTATTTGTTTTTGAGCTTTGATAATATGTTGGCTGTGATGTGATCTTTATTACACTGAGAGATGTAAAGTGCAGCGTGTTTTTAAAAGCCGTTGCCAGTAACTGACGGATATTTATTTCCATGGGACCCAGTGATCATGTCATTCTGCGCTTGCTCACTTTTCCATGAATAACTGACCACGTGAAGATGACATGTTTGGACTCATCTGAACTCACGATACACCCCCAGGGCAGCGAGGGGTGTCTTGGAAGGGTAGAGAAGAATGGTTGTGTCTCTAGGACAATTAACTCTGTTTCAGTTCTTGATTTCGCCTTTACCAAAGGTGCCGGCCAAAGCACTTCAGCGTAGTGATGAAATAGCCAGCAGGCCAGCATTCGCGAGTTTTTCCCGAGGCATTTTCGCTGAAGGTCAGCCTATTATAATGGTTTCTCTGGTAGTAGGGTATTTTATATATAATCTTCTTCATAAAACGAGAACTAAAAAGACATTCAGTTTTATAATAACACATAAGGCTGAATTTGTCAAAGCTAAAGTAACAGAATGCTTACGTGCCTTCAACAGAACTACTACCTTGAGGAAATTCCCCCTAAAGAGTCAGAGAAGCATTTTGGAGGCATTTTAATGTAAAACTTCTTGGGAAAATCACAGGTTATAGGTAATTCCCAATTTCATGGGTTTTTCATTTAATTAGCTCACATTTAGCTTTGATAGTTTACTTCAGTGGTCCCCAATCTTTGGCACCAGGCACTGGTTTCATAGAAGACAGTTTTTCCACAGCCCCAGGGTAAGGGAGATGGTTTCAGGATGATTCAAAGGCACTGCATTTATTGTGCAATCAGACCTCTCTGCTGCTGATGATCTGTATTTGCAGCCGCTCCCCAGAGCTCGCATCACCACCTCAGCTCCACCCCAGATCACCAGGCACTAGAATCTCATAAGGAGCGTGCAACCTAGACCCCCCGCATGCACAGTTTACAGTAGGGTCCGTGCTCCTATGAGAATCTAATGCCGCCACTGATCTGGCAGGAGGTGGAGCTTATGTCGTCACGTGAGCGGTGGGGAGCAGCTGTAAATGCAGATGAAGCTTTGCTCTCACTCGCCTGCCACTCACCCCCTGCGGTGCAGCCTGGTTCCTAACAGGCCACGGAGCAGTACCAGTCCACAGCCTGGGGGCCGGGCCAGCAGGTTTACATCATTGCACTGAGGGGCTGAGAGTTTCCTGGGGAAGAGAGGGGAACACTGCAAAATTAACATTAAGAGTGAAAGAGAATAAAAATGTTCTTAGACAAAAATTGAGAGAATTTGTTGCTAGTGGCCTGCCTTGCAAGAAATGTTAAAAGGGTTCCTTAAAGAGGATGAAAATAACATAGGTCAGAAACTCAGATCCACATACAGAAAGAACATTGAAGAGGAAATAAATGAAAATAAAAGAAACTTTCATTTTTCTTATTCTTATAAAGAATCTCTATTGATTTAGTAGCTAACAGTTTATTAAAACAATAGCAATAAAATATTAATTATGCATGCTTCTATATATATGTCTTATGTATAAATATGGGCTTACAGATCCTAACATGTAAGTGCAATGGATGACAAAAATAATACCAGGAACAAGAGGAATGAATTAGAATTACTTTGTTATTATAAGGTATTCACACAGCTCATGAGTGTTGTAGTATTATTTTAAAGTGGATGTGGATTAGTTGTAAATGTACATTGCAAATTCTAGGGCAACTACTAAAAAAAGTTAAAAAGAAAGTAAAACTGATATGCTAAGAAAGGAGAAAAACAGACATATAAAATGTTCAATTAAACTACAAAATGCAGACAAAGAGTGGAAGAGAAAAATAGGGACAAAGAATAAAGGCATAAAATAGAAAACAGTAACCAATGTGGTAGATATTAACCCAATTATACGAATAATCACTTTGAATGTCAGTGGTCCCAAGGAACCAATGAAAAGACAAAGATTGTCCAAGTGGATCAAAAAATAAGACCTGACTATATGTTATTTACAACAAACTCACTTAAAGTTGAAAGACACATATACATTAAAGGTAAATGTATGCAAAAAATTTACCAGGGTAACACTAACTTAAAAAAGCAGGAGTGGCTATATTAATGTCAAACAGAGCTGACAGTGAAGCAAGGAAATTTATCAGGGCTAAGCACATAACATAAAAATAAAGGAATCTATACTCCAAGAATACATAATTCTTACTGTGTTTGTGTTGAACAATAGAATGTCAAACAGGGTGGGGCGAAAACTGATAGAACTACAAGGAGAAATCGTCAAATTCATTATCATAGTTGGAGACTTCAACACCTCTCTAACAGAAACGGACAGACGTGGCACTCAGAAAATCAGTAAGGACACAACCGAACTCAACACCAATAGTCAACTGAAAATTATCGACACCTGTGGACTATTTTATCTGACAATAGCATAATGTACATTCTCCTCAAGCTCACATGGAATATTCTAGAATAGAATAGAACCATGCTAGATCATATACTGGGCCATAATACACACCTTAAAACATTAAAAAGAATAGAAACCATACAATGTCTACTCTCAGACCACCATGGAATTAATCTTGAAATTGATAGAAGAAAGGTAGATGGAAAATCCCTATATCCTTAGAGATTAAACAACACACTTCTAATTAACACATGGTAAAATGAACTATCAATAGAAATTTTAAAATATATTGAACTAATTGAAAATAAAAACACAATTTATCAAAATTTGTGGAATACAGCAGAAGAGGTGTTTAGAAGGACATTGATACCATTGAATACACATATTAAATGCAAAAGAAATTTGAAATCAATAAGTTTCCACCTTAGGAAACTAGAAGTACAAATTTAATTCAAAGTAAATAGAAGAAAAAAAAAGAATTAGAACAGAAATCAATGACACAGAAAAGAAGGAATCAATAAAGAACAATCAACAAAACTAATAGCTCGTTCTTAGAAAAAAAATCAATAAAATTGACCTCCTGTAGCCCGACTGACTAAGAAAAAGAGAAGACACATTAGTAATATCAGAAATGAGGGAAAGGAGATCACTACAGATCTCACGGACATTAAAAGGATAAAAAGGAACACTGTGAACAACTCTATGGCCACAAGTCAAATATAATCGACCCATTCCTTGAGGACACAATTTCCCAAAACTTATGCAAGAATGGCTGGCCACGGTGGCTCATGCCTATAGAATGAGCAGTTATAACAAGGTTGCAGGGTACAATGTTATACAAAAGTCAATTGTCAACACGACACTATTGTTGGTGGGAATGCAAAATGGTACGGCTACTTTGGAAGACAGTTTGGCAGTTTCTTACAAAACTGAACATATGCTTAACCATAGGATTCAGTAATAGTGCTCCTTGGTATTTACTCAAACGGCTGGAAAAATTATGTCTACACAAAAACTTGCACACAGATGTCTAATGGCACCTTTGTTCATAATTGCCAAAACGTGGAAACAACCAAGATGCCATTTAGTAAGTGAATGGATAAACTGTTGTACATCCACACAATGAACTATCATTCAGCATTGAAAAGAAATGAGCTATCTAAACAGAGAAAGATATGAATGGACCTTGACTGCATATTACTGAGTGAAAGGAACCAATTTGAATAGGTCACATACTTTATTATTCTAACTATATAACATTCTGGAAAAGGCCAAACTATGGAGACAGTAAAAAGATCAGTGGTTGCCGGTGGTTGGGAGGTAGGAGGGGGATGAGTAGACAGACCACAAAGGATTTTTAGGGCAGTGAAATTATTCTGTATGACACTGTAATACTAGGACACATATCGTTACACATTTGTCCAAACCCATACATAAAAATTCAACACCAAGAGTGAACCTTAATGTAAACTATGGACGTTAGGTGATAATGATGTGTCCATATAGGTTCCTCAATTATATTAATAACAAACTAAAACAATTACTCATGGTAGTGTCAGGAGTCCAAAACGGGTCTCTCCTACCACACAATCTGTGCTTTCAACAAAGCTGCAAGATTACTTCATCCAATTCAGGATGTCTATTTACTGTATTCACAGAAAGCTCACAGTGGAAGTAACTGGCTAATCTAGCTAGGAGAAGAGTTTGTCATCCGTGAGAGAGACACTGGATGAGCTATGAAAGAGATATCGTCATCCCACCCAGGATAATAGCAGGATTTAGAGTGGACAGTGAGGTTATGAGCCCTTTTCCAAAGTCTCTGATGGAGGAAAGGGAAGGCTCAGAGTTCGGTGGATGGATTCGTGACGAGGAAAAGGAGGGTGGTAGAGTCGAGTGGTACAAATCCCCAAAGAGTGGTCAGCAGGAAAACAGTTGGAAGCATCGGTGAAAAGCAGAGAACACTCGCCTGTCCTCCTCTTCTTAGAACACTAAGGTGTGAGAGAATAAACTGATATCCTAGCGAGAGATTCAGGGAAATAGTTCCTCAGAGAAAGGCTGGAGATCAGCTACATCAAGGAGATCAAGGGAAGCTTTAAGAAGAAGGTGCACGTAGACCACTCACTCCTGAAAGGCAGCTCCCAAAGTCTATTCAGAAGTGTTGGGGGAGAGTGAGGACCAGAGGTCTGGGTCATGAGCCAGGAGGCGCAGATCACTGTGGAGCTGACTCTCAAAGAGGGATCAGGAGCCCTCACAGATTTTGTCTTAATGGGCTATTTGAGGTTGGTGGATGCAGATTGGTGGCCAGGGACTTGGCTCATTCGCCTTGGGGTGATGGGAGTCCCAGTATCTGCTCAGCCCAGGGCTCTACACTCCTAGGACCTTCAATACTGTAACACAGCATGGGGTCTTTGGGACTCCGTCGGCACAAATAGCTTGCGCATTTTCAGAAGGTCTGATAATTATGATGGCAATTCTACAAACATTTTAAGTGTGTTTCAATCTAAAATACTCCCATACAGCGTGCAGGATGTTTAGAAATTTGTTTTTCCGATTGCTAGGATGCTGGTACTCTTAGAAACCTGGGTATGATGAGATTAATGGAAATTCACTTTTGCAAATACGGGTATGGAGAGATGAGGGACTCCAGAAAATAGAACGGGGTGGTCATAGCTGTGTTTGCCAAGTCGGGAGGAAAGGCCTGGGAGAGGGGAATCCAGGAAGACAGAGGATGGTGCCTGGGGAAGCCAAGAAGTGGTGGGTACAGCTGAGAGCAAGTCGGAGCGTGGAGTATTCAGGACACTGAGCAATTGCACCTCAATTCTTCGGAGAAAGGGGACCATAGCTGGCAAGCTCTCTTCTGTCCATGTATCACGGCCTTCATTTGGTGAGAGAGATACACTTTCCTCATTATATCCACATTTCAAAACGTCACTCTGAATCCAATGCAATGACTTCTATAACCATATTTACCTTTCACATGTAATAAAACAATTTTTAGGTCAATCCTTGACATGAGGCTTTCCAATTAAGCCTATTTAAAAATTCAAAAATCTGCCACCTCCCTTCCCCCACCCATGCCAAATTTCAGTGGCAACCTTTCATTTTAGCCAATGTCTGTTCTGTTGCTTATCAGACAGAAGAATAAAGGTAGTAAGGTATTGTTTTGTTATTTTCACATCATGGTTCTCAGGTTTATGATATTTAAATGATATAATTTCAAAGAAGGATTTTATTTGGTCTATATGTGCATTGCACATAGCTGGTAACCTCTGCATTCTTTCCTTTCCAAGATTAAAGAAAGGTAGCAACAGTCTTAAGACACTGGGGAAAAGATACAATTCATTTTGATTCATCCCTTGTGGCTCATAATATACTGTACAGGGTCATAGAGTAGGGGAAAAAAATCTCCACTTCCCAATCCCACAATAATTTGAAGATAAATTCTCCTATTACTAGGTAAACATGAATAGTGCTTACTCCTGTAGTTTATGATCAGCAGAATGGGTTCTAGAATAGTTTAAAATTGAGATCATGTCTACAAATCCAAAGCATCAAATACTTCTCTCTGGGATTTAGTGGTAAAAGCAAAGAAAAAATGTTACCAGATCCCTTTTCTGATCATGGCAGCCAACTATAAATTCCCTGGTCTCTTTCTTGTTTGTTCATGTCCCCCAATGTATTGCATTTTAATCCTGTTAAACGTTGTTTCATTTAAGCCCCAATTCTAGGCAGAGTTGTTTCTCATTCTCAAATCTCCTGATCTGATGAATGTTACACTGCTGAGATCTTCATGAAAATATAGTAGCTCTACTCATGAATTGTATATGAAATGATTATAAATATATTTGAACATGACTGCAGTGGAATTTGGGGCATGAAGTTTTAACTTTGTGCATAATTCAAAAAGCTTTTTACACACACATACAGCATGTGTTTTTGAGCTGTGAAAGAACACATTCCTGGAAGAAAGTTTCAGTTTAGCTATTTTTTTGCTGATAAAATAAAAAGATGAGACTGGAAGTTTAACATTTAAACATCACCAAAAACCATGAAAGTATTTAAATGTTTTTCATTCTAAAGAGTTGCAAAGCCAATATATTCTTTTTAATTAAAACAGTAATTAATAACAACCTAATTTATTATTTATGCATCAGACCCTGCCAAATGGCAAATTAGGCGGAAAAATAAACAGTATCCATGCAAACTATTTGAAAAGGCAAAGTAATGCATTTCTTGTTCCTCTTCCACCAAGATTTTAGTATCAATTTCCATTATCTCCAGCTGACTTGTTGAGGGTCAGACTCCAAGTCCAATGACTTAAATCGATTTCCCATTAGTCCAACTCCAGTCTTCCAAGACTTCTTGACACTACATTAGAATGTGGATACCAGATGTTAGCAATGAGCTGCAAAACTAACCTAATTTATCCCTAATAATGGCGTGGTGTATTTGAACATCCCCCCTGTGTGTGACGAAGAGCTGCTGCACTACAGGTAAAACTACAGGTAAAACTAACTTGCAACCTCTCTCAGGTGCTCGCTTTGTCTGCCTAGATTGTTGTTCACAAACAGCCTAGACAGGTGTTCATATTCATTAATGAGCTCTGCAATCACACCGCCTTCTCCCATGGCCATGGCCTTGCTGTCCACGCCGCGGCCGGAGCGGATCATCCGAGGCTGGACACCGGGGATCGCGCCGCGCACGGTCTGCCCTTCCTCCGCGCGGCTCCCTTCCCGCCCCCACCCCAGACAGCCGCCTCTTCTCCTCGCACTGCTTTGGTTCTTCTGGTTTCCTCTCTCACCTCTTCCTGATTCCTCATCTCCCACGTGCGCCCTCCGCGAGCCCCCTTTCACTGTAAATTCCTCTCTTACACCACCAGCCTTTTTCTCAACTTTCCCTCCAACTCTTAAAGAAATTCTGGCTCTTCCCTGACACCTTTCCTTTTCCGCCACCCTCGGAGGGAAGATCTCCTGGTCCACCTAACGCCGGAAGAGAGGTGGGTCCTCCTTGAGCCCTCCGGTGCCATGCACAGGAACTGTCCCCGTGTCTACGCGAGGCTGCCTTGCGTCTTGGCTCGCGCCGCCCAACTTTCCATCTTTAACCCTCCTTTATCGCAGCAAGGAGGCGCCGCATGTCTTGGTCAGTCTCCCCGCCACTGCAGACACGGGTCCCGAGGCCACAGCCGGCCCGTGAAGCCCATGCCGCACCGTCGAGCGGGATGCTCCGTATAAACGTGTGGCAGATCGCGCGACACGTCAGCCTCGAGGGGCTCCGACACCGCCGGGTCTACCGACCTTCGCCTCTGCCCGGCTCCCCCAGCTGACTCCCCGACTGGAAGTCAGAAAGCACAAGCTCTCCCACGGCCGCTGTCCGTCCTTCCGCCTCGCCCACATTCTGGTGCCCGCTCTGCCTGCCCACGGCCTCCGCCGCCTCCGGCGCTCCCGCCCGGCCCAGCAGCTCCAGCACGGCCAGCCCTCCGCCCTGCCTCCACCACGGACGGCTTTCTCACCCACGCGCTCTCGCCAGGGCCCGTCCCACCTAGGAACACCTGCAAGATACTGGGCTATAAAGACCACCGCCACCTTCCAGCTTCCGTTTACTGCTTGTTTGCTAGCCGCAAGGCATTGTGGGTACATTATGGGATGCAGAGGAGACAGACAAAGAACGCGGAAACCGGAGTCGCTCGGCTAGGACCCGGAGCAGGTTGGAGCCTACCAGGGGCAGGATGAAGTAAGAACCACTGTGGGGGCGGATGCAGGATCAGTATGTAAACAGCCTGGGTATAAAAGGGTCACTAGCACACAACAGGAGTCCCTGCCCGGAGAAGAGGTCACCGCGCTGGCACTCTGGGGGCTCGGACCCTAGCTCGAGCTAGACAGTAAAACTGCTTTTGATAATTACAGCCTCGGTGACTCTGTCTCTCTGTCCCGCGGCCCTGTGAATCTCGGCTATGTAACACATCCATCCCTGAACCCGAGGGCCCCCGGACAGACGAACTCCCCCCACCTCCTCTTTCCCTGAAACACGGGTGGCTGTGGCTGCATCTGCCATCAGCTCACTGAGCCCTCAAGGCCGAGCCTTCTCTCCTCTTGACCCTGTTCCCTCTACTTCCTGTTAGGGTCTTGCCCCCTCCGGTGGGCATCTTTTCTGCTATGTGGTTATTCTTTTATTTTCCGTCTCTTTCTTTCACTACACTTGTTCTCGGTGAATGACGCCACTGTTTTCAGAGTCATTCAAGTTAGAAATCGGGAGCCACTTTGCACCTTTTTTATCCTTCATGCCCATATCTAGTAATGTTAGTAGTAATAATATTCAATCGTAGGGTGACTGCCCGGTGCCAGCCACTGTCCTAAGTGCTATACGGATGTTAGTTCACCTAATCCTCTCTACCATTCTATGAATTAGATGCCACTCTTATCACCATTTTGCAGACGAGGACACTGAGGCACCAAGAGGCTAAGTAGCCTCTGCGAGGACACCCTGCTGGTGAGCGGTGAGGTGGAGAGGAAGCACCAGATGCTGACTCCTGACCATGTGGGGAATTTTCCCACTGTATATTAATAACATTGCCTCATCCCAGGTTCTCCACAGCCCTTACCTCAGCTGCGAGAGCCCCCAGAATGGCCTGGCTGGCTCTGGTCTCGCAGTCTGCAGACTACTACCCTGCAGTGCTCCCCGATTCTTACCCTGCAGCGCTCCCCGATTCTTACCCTGCAGTGTTCCCCACAGACTGGCTGGTCTGGCGACAATATTAGCTCCACTGTTTAAACTCTAAGAGTGGATGAAGTGGAAATGATGATTGTTTTGTTGAGATTAATCCTGTAACTTTTAAAAAAAAGGCTTTATGTTGATGACTTATAAATGTTTGAATTGAGCCAAAGAAAGCTGATAGAATAAAATGAAGTAATTAAGTCTCAGGCTGAGACTAATGGATTCAAATCCTGACTCTAACATGTCCTGGCTATCGAATTTGGGCAAGTTACTTAACTTCTCTGTGCATTAGTTCCTCGTCTTTGACATGGGAGTCATAAAAATACATCGTAGGGCGATTGTGAGAAGTAAATGAAATCAGTTAATATACGTAGAGTGTTTGTAAGAATGCCTGGCAGCAAGCAAATTGCTATGTGAGCGTCAGCTGTTCTTACCCACACGTGGAACCTGGGCAAGCTGGTTGGAGAACAGGATTAGAATTCAAAGTAGTCTTGATAAACTATCATACGTTTCATCAGGAGACTGTAATAGTTAACCTGCCAGGATTCATTATAACACATACTGTGATGAGCTTCGTAACATTGCTTTGTGATGGAGATCTTGCATTTGTGGGACTGAATCATACCAAAAGCCTGTCTTCTGGTATTTGAAGTTGCCTTCCTTGATTTGGAAGTGGGAACGCCGGCCATTGCCAAAGTAATTCCATATAGACATGTGTCCTCTTCCAAACAAGTGTAGAGTTTCTTTTAGACAAGCGTAAGGGCTATAATCCATATGACATAATTTTGAGGATACTATGTTAGCACCCCAGTAAGCCAGGAAATCAATCTCCAGCCACCACAACCCTCTAGGAAACATCTGTGGGACCACTTGCCATGAGAAGGAATGAAAGTGGGCCTGGCAGCCCCGGCTCAGCGGGGGGCTCTATCCAGGAGGGTTGACGGGAAGCAGCCTGCTGGCCTGGGACTGGTCCCTTTCTCCAGGTTTCTGAAAGCGCATGACTGTCGTAAGAGGTGGCACAGACAACGGTGCCGGTCCATGGTGACTTGTCCTCCAAATCTTCAACTACTGGCAATAGGTACCGTTCAAACCTTTCCCTTAAGCAAACACCAATTCCACTTTCTCTGGGCTCTGAAAGATCCAGGCCTGCCCACTGAACATGTGGTCTGTACGAGATTTGACCCTGACTGCTTATAAAGTCCAATAATTTATCTTCTTTTTCAAACTGGCCACACGAAGCAACGCTAGATTTTGAAGTGCGTGATAAAGAGAGAAAACCAAAGATGAATTCGATCCAACCTGAGAACTAAGTGAACAGCTTACAAAAAGAGGAGGGGGCCTGGGAACCCAAAGAGACAGCTTGACAGCAGACAGAAAACGATTTAACACTCAGACAGGGGAGAAAATTGAGATCCACAACTATGGCCAAAAGATACAACCCGAACGAACTGCCCCGAAACGAGAGCTAAAGGACACGATTTATTACATAGACTTTTCCCATCACAAGATGTAAGCTAATCTACTTTGCTAAAAACAAACACATTTCACCCTTGAGAGTGTATTAAGTACTCTGAAAAGGGCCTGGGATTTAATTTGTAAGACACATTTCACCAGATATTTAGAAGTTTCGCTGTAGAATTCCTGGCCTCTAGTGTTCTTTATTTTCTGACTCCTGTGAGATAATCAGAACCACATTCTCTCAGAGGGCGAGTCATAGCCTCACTTTTTCCTAACTCTTATGTTTCCCAAGTAAATGCCTGCATATCAAATTTTTTTTTCTAAATAAAGGTTTCAAAGAATTTAACGACAAATCACCCACACATATACTATTTTTGTAAATGAAACAGTGGTCCAAACGAGCTAGAAATGCCTTTTATCCATTTGCCCTTTCTGGGCTTCGGGGCTGGAACTGGTAGCAGTCGCACCTGTTTTTCTGCAATGGCACTATTGGCATTGTCAACTTGCAAACTTTGAGGAATATTCTAATTGGTCAGCAAAGCTTTCTGAGCACTGACTGTACAGCAGCTCCTCTAATCCTGGAGCACAGCATAGCTACACCGGGTTTAGTGTTTTTGCAGATCTCACAGATCATTCTGCGTCTGCTAACACAGACACAAAGGAAAGGCATTGTGCTCACGACACTGCTTTAGATGACTTCACAGGGAATATATTTTTGTCTGTGCTCCACAGTCAGAAGCACACGGTGATTAGCATAATTGTTAACTGCAAATCCACCGTGTCGGTTATTTGTCTTCTACTGACTCAGGTAGTGATGATATTTTGAGGAAGTAAATCAGATTATCCGATAGGCCAGTGATTAAAAGATGATAAACCTTGGGGGTAGGGAATTAGTGAAAAAAATGAAGTCATGTTAATTTCGGTAGTTTTTAATATGAAATAGTATAGATGCCATTTTAAACTGAAAGTCCTGCGACTTAACCACTTCATGCTTTTTTGAAAGGCCTGCCATAGAAACATTTTTAAAAGATAGCTCAAGTGCTTGAGGTGATGGATAGCCCAATTACCTTGATTTAATTAATGCACATTGTATGCCTGTATCAAACATCACATTTATCCCGTAAATATTAATATATACAACTATTATGTACTCATAATTAAAAATTAAATATTTTTAAAAGATAGCTCAAATAAAAGGTAGAATTCTAGAAGTTGTCTGTTTCTCTGATATTTAATTCATTCCTCTTAATCAAATATTGTTCTTTCTAGAAATCCTTTCTCTTGGTGCCCAAGTTCACCTCCCTTCTGCATGCCTTCTTGTGCTGTCAGGCGTAAGCCCTTATCCTCACCTGCCCGGACAAGGGCAGCAGCCTTCACACTGCCCATGCGCCATCCAGGCTATACCCACAGACCCACCCAAAACATTTACATGACCCAGTGATTGAATCTAACCTGGACCAAAGCACAGGCATCTTCCAAAAAGTAGAGTTAAGGCTGAAATATAAATAAAGGATAATGGATATATAAGAAGTTAGGCCCGGGAGGTTTGATGTGTTGAAGTCTTTAATATACAACTAAGGCATCTCACTCAATTTGACAGGCAGTAGACATCTATCAGGGGTTTTTATTTTTTACATGAGTAGTATAGTTTAGGAAAATTAATCTTGCTATGTTGTTTAGCATGAATTGGAAGGAAAAGGGACTAAACTATTGCGCTCATCTTGGGTAATAAATAGAGGTTCTCAGTAAGAATTATGGCAGTGACAATGGAAATAAGGCGAGAGATATCAGTGGAGTTGTCAGAATTTTGTCATAATCTTTGTCATTATGGTAGGTAGAAGGTCCAGAAAGAAATAAAAATTAGAAAAATCTTTCATTGCTTAGTTTTATCATCGAAGACTTAGAAATGAGTTTCTGCTCAACCCTTCTAGGAACAAGTCACTGAATTTGCTTTTCCAGTAGGGTCAAGTAGAGCAGAAAGAGGCGTTCAGTGGCGTGCTCGCCACAGTCAGCGCTGGTGGACGCTCTGGCTGTGAATTCCTGGCTGCCGTCTTTGTCCTGTGGCCTCTGCAGCTTTTCTAAGCAACTGCCACCCACATCTTTCCCTAAGAGAAAGACCTTACTTGCTGTCTGAAAGGACCACATCCACCAAAACATTCAAACAGCGGTCTGAAGCAAGAAAAGTCATCGCCAGAGAAGTACCGAGTGTCAGTGGTAGTGGGCTGGGCGTCTCCTACGCTTCAACAGGCACAGGGACTGGAGCAGCCCGGCTTCTGCAACCTGAAGGCCGCTGGTCTCGGGGAGGACATTGCGGGTCACCTATCAGCTGTGCAGCGCTGCGCTACGCCATCCCCGCGGGATAATCTCCCGGGCGACTCTCCTAGTCCACATTCTACTGGTGCAATAAACATCATAAACAAACACCACGGCC